CCCCAAAACCCCAAAACCCCAAAACCCCAAAACCCCGCAACATAAACTAGATATTGAATTATTAAGTATAAAAATAAGTTCCAGTTCTCAAAATGCTTTAAAGTGCTTTCGTTGGGAGTCTTATTTAAAAATTTGAATTAGGGTTAAAGTCACCCACAATGCGAGAGGAGAGTGGAGACCATAGAGAGAGAATTGTTATATATATCTTTGCATTTTAGTTCTTAAGTGAGTCTTTGATTGAGAAAAGTATGCCAAATGTTGAGAAAATTTTCATGATTTTGCAAAAATTATATTATAATTTTAAATTGTTGAAAATACCACACCTTTTCAATTGAATTCTTTTCTCCAGAAGTGCATGTGCCAGATGATCAGGTTCTTTCACTTGAGATAGTGCTAATTGAGTTTTCAGGGCTTGTTTAGTGGAGTTAAATACACCTTCCTTTTTTATTTCATGATTTCAAATGCACCTTGTTTTCTCCATATTCAGGTCAAATGAGTAGTTTGATATTTTCCTGATTAAGGAATTCTTACAGGAACCCTAAAGCTATGACAGTGTGCCTAAACTCTCTCTTGAGACATCAGTCCGCCTTCAGCATTGATAATCTTTTATTTATATAGAGTTCTCAGAATTATTTCGTTTTATTATCATTCTCATAATCATCGTTGAGCTTAGTAGCTTAATCTCTCACCCTTTTAACTTTTGTCTGGAGTTATTCAAAATTTATATCTTTTCTTCCAATCATCGTTAGAATCTTAAGCTTCACAGAATTTTTTGCTTCCTTAAAACAAATGGGATTTAACTCTAAATTTTTAAAATTAAGTCAAGTTATTATAAAGAAAGAGATATAATATTTGGCTTTGGAAGGGCCGAGTCATTTCTTTTAATATTTAGATCTCAAAACATCTTATCTCGATTATTTTCTAGGATTCATCTAACAAACCTCAGAATTTTATGTGCTCAACTAAGTTACCTAATGCTACATTTGGAGATCAAAACATAAATTCCCTAAAAACATTCCTGTTTGTATCTTCTCAATGTAATTACTAGACAAATAATCAGCAGCTTGAATTTCATTCAAAAGGAGCCAAATTAGATTCTTAATCCTGAGCCCATCGACATAGAGCAAAATGCAGAAAATTACTTCAAACCCTCCAAGAACTAACGGAGCATGAGTTACCTCTTAGCTCTCTAATAACTTCAGCTAAGAAATTCCCGGAGTGTCAGAAAGAAATGACAGAAATATGATCCTTTGACTGCTGAAAGGTAGCAGGTTTTAGCTTTCAATCTAGCTTTGACATCTAGTCTACCAATATTATAATCCACAGTTCTTATGAAGAAAGTAAATTAACAAAAGTTTTAAGAATTGGGCGAATTTATCAAAAACAGATCTTGTAGGTTTGTTATGACAGATCTACTTATGAGTGCTATCAACCAAGTACTGCACTTTTGATGCCCATTAAACTATACTAGTTTGCTTTTATATAGCAAGGTAGATATAACTTCAGAATATTTAAACCCAATAAGTTCTTTCACAGAAGGATGTTCAGAAACAAACCACACATCTGAATCGGATTTTTTAAATAAAACCCCTTTCAAGAGAATGGGGTTTTGGGGTTTTGGGGTTTTGGGGTTTTGGGG